CTTGCTCTTTTTCTAGTTTTCTCCTTAATTCACTTGGGCTTGTCAAAATACTAGACTATTTTTTAAATATAACATTCAGAGCCAAAATTCTTAAAGACATATTTGCTTAAGTTTATTTGTTCAGCTGAAACTACAATTAAAAAGTTAAATAAAACTCATTTTATTATTTAGTAAAACATATTTTAATATTTGGTAAAACATTTTAAATATTTATTTGGCATGATATTTTATGAATAAATTTTTTAGATTGGATACATTTTTAATTGATATAAAGAAGAATATTGGAAGTATTAAAAAAGCAGCAATAAGACATGACAACAGCTGGTTAGGACCCGGTTGGTATTTGGAGAAGGTATTTTTTTGAAATGTATTAGTAATAACTAAAATTAAATCAAAACTTATAATTTGGCAAAACTTTAAGTAAATTAAGGAATTATAAATAAAAAAATTTATAAGAAATTATAGTTTGTTATAATAATTTGCAAATCGAACTTATCGGCTCACACAAAGTAACCCCTTCAGGTATTTGTTTTCTTAACAAAGGACTATTCATGCCATCTGCTGTTTTAACTAAAGGTTTAGTTTTACAATTTGATCTATATGTCTAATCTGGATATGACCATCCGATGTCAAAACTTTATAGTTAACGTTTCCAACTGCTGATACAATAATGACCAAGACCCACTTCTCACCCCTATATAATTCCTTACATAAACAAAGTCTTCAGGTTGAAAGAATCTACTTTTATTACTAAAAATACCTGTAAGCTGTTTTTCGTTGATTTTGGTGATGGCCTCAGGAAGTAGCATCGCCAATGGATTTCTTAATCTTCTACCTAATAAAAGTTCAGCCGGGGAAGCTCAAGTTGTAGAATGTGGTATTAAGCGATATTTAAAAAGTAAGGGACACAATTGCATCTCAACATCACTGTCTTGAAAAGTTTTTGAAGAGTTCTTAAATGTTTGAACCATTTGTTCTGCTTGACCATTTGAGGTTGGATGATATGGTGCTGCATAGATTGGTTTAATATTATTTGACAAAATACTAGACAAAAACTATATTCCCATGGATGAGACTCAGTTGATGGACACTTTATTTTCCCATTTATTGGACATGCATGATCAATGTGTAATCTCTCCCATGGTTTACATGGATATTCTCATGGATGAGTTGATGGACACAATTTTTTACTTTGTTCTTAATTTCGAAATCATTTCCAGGCCACCAGACTTCTAGCTTCTAGGATCATTGTATGTGGCTCTCCTCAACTTTTTCTTTGTAATAGGGGTTTTTACTAGCTCTATCATCCATGGTTTTTAAGCGTGACTTTTCCCTCGATGCATCTAATGGTAAATGGCTTAAACCATCTGCACCTGCATTCTTTTCACCAGGACAATATAGCAGTTTATAATCATATGCTGACAGTAACAGGGCCCAGCATAATACTCTTGCAGCAGCTCTTGCAGGAAGTTCCTTATTTTCTAAAAATAGCCCCAGCAGAGGTTTATGATAAGTGTACAAAGTAAACTTGTGCCCATATAAAAACTGATGAAATTTTTTTACTGCAAATACTAAAGCTAATCCTTCTTTTTCAATTTGGGCATATTTTTGTTCAGCCATACTTAATGTCCTTGAAGCAAAACTAACAGATTTTTCACTACCGTCATCCTACTCTTGGCTCAGAACAGCTTCCACACCATGTGGACTGGCATCACAGTGAACCATGATTTTCTTTGATGGATTAAAGTGGGCTACCAATGGTGCATTGCATAACAAAGTTTTAACTTTTTGAAAAGCTTCCTCACTATTTTTACTCCATTTCTAAAATACATTCTTCCTCAATAAATTATGGAGTGGTTCTGTAATGGAAGCTATCCTAGGTAAGTAGGCATTGTAATAGTAAGCCATGCCTAAAAATGCTCTTAACTCTTTGAAATTAGTGGGTCGAGGAACATCCCTGACTGCTTCTACGTTTTATGCTGTTGGTCTGCAACCTTCTTGGCTGATTATAAAACTACAGAATACCACTTCAGGTTGCATGAAAGAGCACTTAGATGCTTTAATCCTGATTCCTTCAATATTCTTAATATGGATTCTAAATTGCTTAAATGCTCTTTATCAGTTTTTCCAGAAATGAGTATATCGTCCACTCATACTTTCACAAATGGTAACCTGCCCAACCTTCTATCCATTTCTCTTGGAAAGATGCCAGTTGCACTATGAACACCAAACTGAAGACAAGTCGGCTGATATAAACCTTGATGCAAATTTATTTTTAGAAATTCTTGTGAAGCTTTATCTAACTGAAGTTGCTGATATGCCTGGGACAAGTCGGGCTTGGTGTATTTCTGTCCTCCAGCGATAGTGGCTAACTGATCAGTGGTGATAGGTATCCAGAGGGGCAGCTTGATTTATTGTAACTTTATAATCCCCACATATACACAACGGACCAAAAGGATCTTTTGAATTTTTTAGAACAGGCATTATAGGTGCTGCCTGTTTTGAATACTGGACTCTTCTCCAAACCCCCTGGTTTTCCAAGCGATCAAGCTCTTGTTCAATCCTAGTCCTCAAAGCATACAGTACTGGTCTTGGTTTAAAAACTTCGGGTATACATCCTCACGTATTGGTATGTGACATTTAAAAGCTTTTAGGGATCCTAAATTATCACTAAACACCTCTGGAAATTTCGCCACTAGTGCTTCTACCCTTGTATTAAACCCATTGCAAAAATTAACATATTTTATACCTTTACACATTTCCACCCATTTTAAGTTCAGTCTCTGAATCCAATTTCTTCCCATTAATGTAGGCACATTTCTCTTAACTACAGTTATAGATAAACTGCAAGATTGTTCTTTATAATCTACTTCAACAAGCCCTATTCCTTCTGGTCTCTCAGATTTCTCACCTATTGAATACAAAGCTAAAAAATCACTTTCATTTTCATTTGCATCAACAGTGCTTCCTTTAGTTGATCCTTCACAAATTTCAATTTGTTTCACTCCTAATTTCTTCTCCTTCCTACTATCAAATTCTTTTTTTTCTGATCAACATCTTCTTTTAATATGTCTATTTCTGCCACATGTGTGGCACTTAGAGCTGCGAAAATGGAAATTGTTTGACCTGTTCAGCCACATTGAAAACATTATCTATTTTCATCAAATTTTTTCCAATTATCCATTTTGTGTACTCCATCTTGTTCTATAGGGCCTTCTCTAGTGCCATGAATAGTCTTAGCATCTCTATATGCTGTTTCATATGCTCTTGCCGTGTCTAGTGCTGTCTCCAATGTTAAATTTTTAATGGTTAATAACTTTTGCTGGACATTTTCATTGTTTAATCCACAAACAAACCTATCTCTTAAGTGATCATTTAATTTCTCACTAAATTCACAATACTCTGATAATCAGCGTAACTTCATGATGTATTCGTTTATTGATTACCCCTCTTTCCTGTCTCTTTTATAAAATTGAAATTGTTGTGCAATGAAGTTTGGGGTTTTAATTTTGGATTCCTCGTTTTAAGTTTTAAGTTTTTTAAGTGATTCCTCATTAGCATTATTATCTGAGTAAAAGTTTTATTTTTAGTGTCACTTTCGCACAAACTGTGAATAAGTTTGTATGCAGGTCCTCCGACAGTTGATAAAAACACTGATTTTTGTAGTTCTGCATCTTTAATGTCATTGGCCAGTAAATAATTTTCAAACCATTCTATGTGTTCAATAAAATCATCCTTTTCTAAATCAAAACTCCATATATTAGCCAAATGCATCATTTTCACTTCGTCGTCAATTGTTATAAATACGTTACAAAAGAATACTACTGCTTTAAGAATAAACTCAATTAAATTAACCACAAATACAAGAACTATAATTAGTTGTAACAACCATAAAATATATGTCTATCAAAATAACAACAAGTACATGTTTCTTCCATCGTCACTCTCGGACTGTATTGGAATAATTGCTGACACGTTGCACATCCATATTTTGATTACACAGTTAAAACATGTTACAACATTTGCTAACTTCTTTCAAGTATAACAGGTTTAAAACAGTATTTGATACATTATTGATTAATAATAGTGCCCGTTTTTCAAAATATATTTCAAATGAATGACACCTGCTGTTTTGAAAATGTAAAACATGATTGTCTTACAAACCTGGCATGTTTTACATTTTTCAATGACATTCAGATTCACAAACTCAATTAACAATAGCTGACTTGTATTTGATCTGTTTCAAATAAAACCACAACTTATCTCCTGTAACATCATAATAAAGTCTCCTTAGATTTTTTCTGAATAGGGATAAATGTTCCTTATGTCTTAACTCTATCCTTTTGATGTTGGTTGGTTAATTTATGGGGTATCAATTGTGATGCTTATGCTTTTTTTAAAGAGCATTGTGATCAATAAGATTTGTTGTAAAGCGATTAATTGATGTCGGCACTTCAATTGTCATTGCATTAGAGTTTGCTTCAATAACAGCAATCACTTGATTGCTGTTATTGATTGCTAATTGAAAAACTCTTCAATGTCCATTATAATTTCAATGATTTTAGAAGTTTTCTGGTTTAGGAAACTTATTTATCTTTAAATAGTATCTTTATACTTTTAAATAGTTACACTTGTATTAAACATTTACAAATGTAGAGATGTAAAATTTATAAATCTAGTCCCTTGTTTTACTTCTCTTTATAAAATTTAATCTTAATTTGTTTTAAACTAATATTTTTTTAAAATGATTTAAACTATGGTTTAAACTATTTAGTTTAAACCTATCAACACTGATACACTTACAGGCTAAGTGTTAAATCAAATATATTTTTATATTAATTCTATTGTAAATTTAACAATAATAAGCTTTATTATAAAATAACGATTGTAAACTATTGTTAACTATATTGTTTTATATCTATATTAGTAATTATATTTATAAACAAAAAAGAAAGAAAAAAAAAAAAGTTAAAAAAGAAATAATATTTATTCATATTTAAACAACCATTCTTTTTTATTTTTAATAATTAGTAAAAGTCCTATTTATAAGGCATGTACAAGCTTTTGTTTAAAGATATTTATAGTTTTGTAATTGTCTATTTTTTTTAATAAGGTGACAGTAACAAGTGAAGATGGAGACTATTATGAATTTCCTGTGCATAAGTGGTTAGACAAACACCAAGATGATGGCATGACAAATAGGGAGTTGATTCCAAGGCCTACTTCAAATGTAAAAAAGAATGACATTGAAACTATACAACCATTAGGTATCATTGCAATCAATGTTTTGATTTTATATAAACATATTGCATTTATAAAAAATAAGTTTTACATAGGTGCATACCTATCACATACTTTTTTTCCACATGTGTATATTGTGGTAAAATTTGTGCCACATTTGTATAATGTGGCAAATTTTGTTCTATATAGACTAAGGTTTAATTGTTTCTAAATAGTTTTTCACCTTTTTTTGACCTTTAGATTGTTCTTGGCCTCAAGGAGTATCAAATGGTTTAATTTCTGATTCTCAGATTTCAGCCTCCACATCATTTAATGATTTACATCTCCCATATCATGCCAGATTAGGAAAGATTGTACCTAGCTCATTGGGAGGCTGGTGTCCATATAAAGATGATGCTGTCCAATATTTGCAAATTGATCTTGCTCAAGTAAAAAAAATTGCTGGTAAACTATTTTTTCAAACTTTACTTTAAATAAGAAAAACAACAAGGAATTGAATTATATGTTGTTTCTATATATTTCTAAATAAATAAAATTCCTAAAATTTATTTACTAATTTTTTATAACAAGAATAATAATAGTAATGTTTCAGGAGTGGCCACTCAAGGTATGGGTTTGGTGGATGAATGGACAACAGCTTATCGTATGATGTATTCTAACAACTCAGAAAGCAATTTCAAAGAATACTCTGAGAATTCAGAAACTGTGAAGGTATGCTAACATACCTAGATAATCTATATTTACAAATCTGTATTTTTACGTGTGTAATGTTAACATATGAAAATAATCTTACATAACTACACAATTGATGGCGTTATTATTGATACTATTGTAATGATGTTATAATAAATGATAGTAATGATCATTATAATAAATGATAGTAATGATCATTATAATAAATGATAGTAATGATCATTATAATAAATGATAGTAATGATCATTATAATAAATGATAGTAATGATCATTATAATAAATGATAGTAATGATCATTATAATAAATGATAGTAATGATCATTATAATAAATGATAGTAATGATCATTATAATAAATGATAGTAATGATCATTATAATAAATGATAGTAATGATCATTATAATAAATGATAGTAATGATCATTATTAGAATACTAATCATCTTATATTTATCATCCTAACAACATTGATCATTGTAGCAATACTAACCATCTTATAAGATGTTGATCATCCTAACAACATTGATCATTGTAGCAATACTAACCATCTTATAAGATGTTGATCATCCTAGCAACATTGATCATTGTAGTAATACTAACCATCTTATAAGATGTTGATCATCCTAACAATGTTGATCATTGTAGTAATACAAATTATCTTAATGAAAATGATAATTGTATCAACACTAATCATTCAAAAAGTTATGGCCACCATAATGCTAATTATCTCATTTGCTACATTATCGCTATGATGATCAAAATTGATCATCATAACGATACTAATTATTCTAAAAATATTGATCATACTTACAATATTATTTGTTTATACTGTGCCAAAAATATATAACTTTGATATTTTATGTTTATTAACTAGTTCATATTATTGCTGTTATTATTAATAGTTAATATATTGCATGATTTTTTTTTTTTTTTTTGGAGCAATATGATATAAAAAAAGGACACTATCTTTCTTACTTATACTTTTAACTAATAAATGCTTGTCCATTGTTTTTCAATAAATATGGCTTGTCCATTGTTTTTCAATAAGTATGGCTTGTCCATTGTTTTCTTATAAATATGGCTTGTCCATTGTTTTTCAGTAATCTTCTGTGTTCAAATGAGTTCAAACTTCAATTTCAATATCTTTATTAAAATAATTAAAATATTCAAAATCTTTATTAATATTTGAAGTTTTTTTGTTACATATTTTAATAATAATTATTACTCAATTATTATATTGTTTACATATAAATAAATAAAATTTTAGAGGCTTAAAATTTGTTTTAGAATTTTATTGGAAATGATGATCAAAATGGTACTGTGCTTCATTGGTTAAAAAAACCATTTATAAGTCGGTATGTACGCATATCTCCATTAAAATGGCATGGTAAAGGTTGCTTAAGAGCTGAGCTTTATGGTTGTCCAGGTTACTGGTTTAGAAAAACTTTTTTTTTAGTTTTAAAGTCATATTAGAGTTGAATAATAATCAATTCATTAATTTTTATTAATTGTTGCTAACTAATTTATATAGACATTATTGCCAAAAGATGATAATATTTAATCATATTTATAGTAGCTGGATTGCTGACAGAGGATTCTTCTAAAAGTTCAGACTTAATTCAACTTCCAGACTCTCAAACCTCAGATGAATCATTTCAGTATGAGCAACATAAATCAGAAGAAGCAATAAATAAAGGTGGGATGGAGTATCACGAAACTGGTGATAAACACGGGGGAATACCATCTGCTGGTCATGAGCCTGATGATATGCCTAAAGCAACTGAAACACAGCTGACACAGAGTGAAGGTAATTAAGAGGTAGAGGTCTGAATTTAAGAAAGTTATTTTGGAGTCCTGGGTACTTGAAATTAGTCTTTTGTAAATTTTTTTTTTAAATTGAAAATGAAATAATATATAAAAAAGAAATAATATATAGAAAAAAAGAAGTATGGATAAATTTAGTTTAGTTATTTAGATAGGGTTTGTGTTACAAGAAACTTTTTATATCAAAGTTTTTTTTGTATAGGTTTTCTGTACTAAAGATTTTTTAGGATTTTTTTTAATTAACTAATATTTCTCAAAATACTGGAAAAAGTTTCAGTGGTTTGCTAGCAATGGAGTGCTGTGATATCAAGCTCAAAATATCAAATATTAAAAATATTTTAATTGTAGATATTTTATTGTAAATAAATATATTTACAGTTAAATATTAGACTTCTGTTTTTAATAAACAAAACTAAATAAAATATGAGAAAATTCTTTTTGTTTCAAATTTAAATAATTATAGATTAAGATTTTTTTAAATGTTTCTCATAAATGCAAGTATAATTGAAAATATAAGCAATAATAATGTAATATAAATGAAAGCATAATTGCAAATGCAAGCAATGTTAATGCAATATAAATGCAAGCATTATTGCAAATACTTTTCTTTTTTACTTTTCTTTACAATTTTTTTTTTATCTCCTTTTATTAGAATGTTTTAGTGCAGTTACTACTTTTGTGCATTATTCTCTTACTAAATCTTGTATTTACTCTCAGAAGTTATGTTGTAGAAATTTGTGGAATTTTTTACGCCATTAAAAAAAGGCAAGTCTAACATTCAATCTCTCATGCATGGGTCAGGTTTTATTAACTCTCTTAAAGATAAGCCAAAACAAATTGCAAAGAACTTTTTCTGTAAAATTATCTCTAGAATTTAAGGACTGTACTCTTTCTTACATATATGAGAAACAGGTTAATCCATTATTAGACATCCAAAACACATTTTTGTTGTTAAATTTATTTCTCACTTATAGTCTTCTATTGCTTGTGGTCCCAACAACATTCCTGTTAACATGGTTCTACAAAAGTGTTTTCCAGAAGTTCTACAAAAGTGTTCTCCAGAAGTTCTACAAAAGTGTTCTCCAGAAGTTCTACAAAAGTGTTCTCCAGAAGTTCTACAAAAGTGTTCTCCAGAAGTTCTACAAAAGTGTTCTCCAGAAGTTCTACAAAAGTGCTCTTTTGAAGAGCACTTTTGTAGAACTTCTGAACTCTCTCTTAGTACTCTTTACTAATTAACAAGTGCTTAACTTTGTTTTCCTGACTGCTGGATTTTAGCCTTTGTGCCTTTTTTTTTTTTATAAATCTTCGAAGGTTGCTCTGACCCTTCTAATAATCAATCTTATTATTAGTAAGGTTTTTGAATCTTTAATTTACAAATTTCTAATATACCATCTTGAGTCTAACAAATTAATCTCAGACAATCAATAATGGTTTCAATCTTCTTGTTCTACTGCTGACTTGCTAATCATTCTAATAGTAAGGTTTTATTGTGGGTTAAATGGAAAGAGTGAGGGAATGATTATTGTTTTTGACATATCAAAGACTTTTTAGGTCTGGCATGCTGGCCTTTTTCATAATTTCTCTTTTCATATGATGTATCAGAGCCATCGATGTTTCAACATTCTTCACCATCAGTTCCCAATTTTTTTTAAGTCTTCTATTAACTGCTTTCTTTCTCTTTTTTTTTTCCTTAAATCTTTCTTTCTGTTAATTAGCAATTTAAATAATGGTTGCTTGCAGTCTTGTTTTTTTTTTCTTTCTTTCTGTTAATTAGCAACTTAAATAATGGTTGCTTGCAGTCTTGTTTTTTTTTTCTTTCTTTCTGTTAATTGGCAACTTAAATAATGGTTGCTTGCAGTCTTGTTTTTTTTTTCTTTCTGTTAATTAGCAACTTAAATAATGGTTGCTTGCAGTCTTGTTTTTTTTTTCTTTCTGTTAATTAGCAACTTAAATAATGGTTGCTTGCAGTCTGGTTTTTTTTTTCATTCTGTTAACTAGCAACTTAAATAATGGTTGCTTGCAGTCTTGTTGTGAATGAATTTGTTAAAAATAAATAAAAAGAAAAAGTTAGTGTTAACTTTTTTTTGTTATTTTAACTTTAATTGTATATATATTTTTTAAGTTTAGTTATTATAAATTGTTAGTTAAAATTTTTTTTATAACCTCTCTTTAAAAAATGTTTCAGCAGAAACACTAGATGTTATACCCATTGTTCATCTTGACTTTGATGAGATTCATGATAATGTTGTTCCTGATGTCAGTGGTCATCACAATGATGCACATTTAAACCACCCAATAGATATTGTCATGTTCAGTAAATCTTGTGAGAGAGGTTTAAGAATCAATGGTGGAGATTTATATTTTGATGGTGAGTTTTTTATTAACAAACCTAAGTCAGAAATAACTATAGCAGCGTGGATAAAGTTGTTTAGCAATGGAGGACAACATTCTATATTTGACACAATTGGTGGAAAAGATTCAATTCATAAAGATGGTCAATTTCATTTTGAAGTTGATAGAGGCCGATTAAGGTGGTTTCATCGCAATGAAGCTAAAGATGTTGTTTTTAATGTCTCTTCCCCACTTATGGTTCCTGCACACATTTGGACGCATTGCGCTGCTACTTATTCAAGTTTAACAGGGAAGGCTACAGTGTTTGTAAATGGAAAGTTTGGTGCTGAGGTAATTGTTAAATATGTTTTATATCATTGTAAGTTTTTCTTGTGAAAATTGATGTTATTTAAAAT